TCATCTTGGCCAGGGCGTACAGCGTGGCGTACTGGCCCATCTGGTTGCCCAGGCGGCCTTGGGAGTTGATGGTCCACATGCCCCCCTGGGGGAGGCGCCTGGGGCCCAGGACCACGAGGCCGCGGGAGGCCCAGGGGGCGGGCACCAGCGCCAGGCGCAGGTGGCAGTGGAAGATGACCGACACCACAAAGACGAAGAAAAAGAAGATGGTGGAGAAGGAAGGGCGAGTGGTCCAGGATCCCATGCTGGCTGCGGGGGGAGAAGGGACCAGGTCAGGAGGGGTGGCTGGGCACTCCTCTGGGTCTCACTCCTCCCCCACCAGGTCATACATGTATTCACTCACTCTCTCATCCTCGGGGCGCGTCAGGCCTGGGTCCGAGTCCCAGCCCGGCCCTCACAGGCACTGTGTGACTTTAGTCAAGTCACTTCACCTCTCTGAATTCCAGTCTCCTCACCCGTTAAACGGATGATTAGCTGAACCATCTGAAAGTGCCCATTTCGGACCTTACCCCATTGCACGTGGTCCGAGCTAACAGGCCGCCTCACTAGGTTCACGTGAGGATTAAAGGAAGTGGCATTGTCATTTGCAGGCCGTGCCTAGCACGTAGGAAGTGCTCGCTAAGTGTGTAAGGCAAGTACTGCCAGGCTACTTACTGGTGCAGCTGTGTTCTGGGACGTTCACAGCCAAGAAGGCGGCACAATAGGAGGTCAAGAGCACAGACAGCCCAGGTGCAGGGTGGGCTCTGCCTCCCGCTGGCTGGCCAAGCCTGAGCATGTCACTTAACTCGCGAGGCCTCAGTCTTCCCCTCAGTACAATGGGGTCGCCCATGGCACCTCCAGGAACTGCGCCCCAGAGACCCCACCACGGTGAGGGCTTCCTGTCGCTGCAGGTGGGTGTGGTGGATTCATGCCGGTCAGGCCCTCCCCCCTTCCCTGCCCTTGAATCCGGGCGGGCCTGCCACTGCCTCGGCCAATCAAACACGGCGAAAGTGAGGTTGTGCCTTTTCTGGGCCAGGACTTAAGGGACCAGCAGTTCCCACTTCCTGCTTCTGGAACATTCTCTCTGCATTGCTTTAATATTAAGGTCTGTGATGAACCTTTTTTATTTTTGGGGTAATGACTTCATTGAGATGATACTCAAATATCATGCAATTCACTCATAAACAGTGTGCAGCCCTGGCCAGTTGCTCAGTGGTTAGAGCATCAGCCTGTGGCCCGAAGGGTCGTGGGTTCAATTCCCAGTCAAGGGCACGCGCCTCAGTTGTAGGTTCATCCCCGCCCCAGTTGGGGTGCTTTCGAGAGGCAACCCATCGATTTGTCTCTCATGCCAATGTTTCTCTCTCTCCCTCTCTCCCTCTCTCTATCCCCCTCCCTCCCTTCCATTCTTTCTAAAACTCAATGGGAAAAATATCTTCAGGTGAGAACTTTTTTAAAAAGTGTGCAATTTAATGGCCTTTTAGTATATTCAGAGTCGTGCAACCATTACAATTTTTAGAAAAATTTTATCACCCTGAAAAGAAACCCTGTGGTCCTTAGTCATCCCCCCAATCTTCCCACCCTCCCTGCCTCCATGCTTTAGCTACTCTATATAATTCATATAAATGAAATAATTCAATATGTGGTTCTTCGTGACTGGCTTCTTTCACTTAGTATCATATTCTCTTTTTTAATTGATTTTTAGAGAGAGGAAGGGAGAGGGAGAGAGAAACACTGATGTGAGAGCAAAACATCAATCCTGCCGCCTCCCGCACACCCCGTATTGGGGACCGAGTCCACACCTGGGTATGTGCCCTGCCTGGGGATTGAACCGGTGACCTTTAGGTGCCAGGACAACGCCCAACCGACTGAGCTACACTGGCCATCGTGTTCTCAAGGCTCATCCATCCTGTCGCATGAGCCGGTACGTCACTGGCTTCCTTTTATAGCGAACTACTATTCCAGTGCTCGTTGGTTTATCAGTTCATCAGTCGATAGACATTTGGTTGTGCCCCCTTTTGGGCTCTCATGCCTAGTGCTGCCGTCAACACGTGTGCACCGATCTGTGTGGGCCGACATTCTCACTCCCCCGGGGATCCACCCAGGAGTGGAACTGCTGGGTCACGTGTAACCGTTGACCAGGAGCTGCATGCTGTTTCCCACAGCAGCTGCCATTCCATTCCCAGCCGCATGTGAGGGGTCTGATTTCTCCACACCCTCTCCACACTCGCTAACGCCCGTCTATGTGCCCACAGGAAGTGTGCAGTGCTCTCTCCTGGTGGAGCCTGCATGGTGGAGCCGCCCCCAGCGCCTCCCGACTCCACGGGGCTCTGCTGGGCTCCGTGAGCCTTGGTTTCCTGTCCTTGTAATGGGATGTTACCTTCTTCAGGAGTTGCTTCTTTTTTTGTTTTGTTAATTCTCACCTGAAGATAGTGTTCCCCATTGCTTTTCAGAGAGAATGGAAGGGAGGAAGAGGGGGAGGGGAAGAGAGGAAGAGAGGAAGAGAGGAAGAGAGGAAGAGAGGAAGAGAGAAAGAGAGAGAGAGAGAGAGAGAGAGAGAGAGAGAGAGAGAGAGAGAGATGAGAAAGACACATTGACTGGTTGCCTCCCCCTCTCGCCCCAACCTGGGGCAGGGCTCGAACTGCAACCGAGGTACATGTCCTTGACCAGGAATCGAACCCATGACCCTTTGGTGTGGGGGCTGACTGTCTAACCACTGAGAAACCCTGGCCAGGGCAGGAGTTGCTTCTTTTTGAGTCGGTCTCTCCTCCAGCTCTCACGTGGGCTCCCAGGTCTCCAGTACGTCCTGATCCGCTTTCCCCCCTCCACCCCCCGCCCTTCCACTGTGGTCATCCCAGTGGCTACAGCTCAGGAGTCCCCCAGGCCCCTGCAGAAGCCCCGGACTGTGCGGCCTCCACTCTGGGTCAGCTGGCTTCCACCTCACCCATCTCTACTTCCGCTGGCCCCCTTGAATGTTGGGGCTCTGTGGGCCCTGCCTCAGTTCTCCTCCTATAATCCAGGGCTCCTCCCTTGACTAATCTGACCATCTAGGGCCCTCCTTGACGGAAGCATAGGTGGCCCGGGTTCCCAGCGAGGTCAGCGGGCTCTCAGCACATGAGGACTAAGTATGACTCACATTCCTTTCACTGAGGTGCACAGATTGTTCCCGAATTACAATTTTTTGACTTTACAATGGTACGAAAGCAATACGCCTCCAGTAGAAACCATACTTCCAATTCGGAATTTTCATCTTTCCCCGGCTAGCGATATGTGGTAGGATACTCTCTCATGATGCTGGGAGCAGCAGCGAGATGATTTTGCCCATCTGCAGGCTAAGGTAAGGCTGGCTAGGCTGAGCTACGATGTTTGGTAGTTTAAGTTACTTTTCTTTTTAAAAAAATATTATTTTTATTGATTTCAGAGAAGAGAGAGATAGAAACATCAATGATGAGAGAGAATCATTGATGGGCTGCCTCCTGCAGGCTCCCTACTGGGGATGGAGTCTGCAACCCAGGCATATGCCCTGGCTGGGCACTGAGCCCTGACCTCCTGGTTCATAGGTTGACGCTCATAGGTAGTTTAAATCTATTAAATGCATTTTCTTGAATTTTACCGGATGTAACCCCATCGTAAGTGCAGTAGCATCGGAGCAAGAAACATCTTGCTTGCTGCTTTAGTTTCCAAAACAGCGAGTGAAACCTGCCCCAGAGCCCCTCTTCTTATTGGGACAACTCTGTCCCCATCTTTCTCGCTGCCTGCCCTCAGCTCCTGCCTGGGACCCCACGGGGAAGGCTTCACCTCCAGCCAGCTCATTGGCCCTGGGCTCCTGGGGCGGAGGAACCAGCTCAGGACAAAGGTACCACCACCCGGGCCACCTCCACGGTGTGTGGTCCGTGCAGTCACCCAGGCCCTGACCGCAAAAGGGCCCTGTGTTTGGTTTAACGCTCTGCTCTCAGCCTCTAGAAATTCTCGGTAAGTTTGAACAAGGCACTCACGTTTCCATCTGGCACAGGGCCGTGCAGATCAGGCAGCCAGACCCGCTGCCACGCTCGAGAGCTCCCTCTCCTGGCTGCTCATTGGCTGAACAACGGGAAGGCCAAGGCAAGCGGGGAGTGGAGGCTGCGGGCTGAGGCGCCCGGGGTCCTGCCACGCGCCGACCCGGGTCTCAGCGCTCACGGCCCTGGGCTACAGTCCTTACGGCCGCTTCCCTCAGGGGTCCTCAAACTATGGCCCGCGGCCACATGCAAATACAAATACTGTATTTGTTCCCGTTTTGTTATTTTTACTTCAAAATAAGATATGTGCAGTGTGCATAGGAATTTGTTCAGTTTTTTTTAAACTATAGTCCGGCCCTCCAACGGTCTGAGGGACAGTGAACTGGCCCCCTGTTTTAAAAGTTTGAGGACCCCTGCCTCAGATGGTGGCAAACCCCCACCCGAACTGAACTCATTAGGGGACGAAATCTGGCCTGACCGCAAGTGCGGCCATTTGTAGGTGTCTCTTAGTGTGAATGCTGGGTGTTTGGCTGCAGAAACAATAATGTTTGCTGAGGGATGCTGTCAGACCCAGCCAGTGGGCTACGTGCACGCTGCCCCCGCACCCCACGATGGTGCCAAAACACAGCTTCTAGAACAGCCGTGGGCAAACTACAGCCCGCGGGCCGGATCCGGCCCGTTTGAAATGAATAAAACTAAAAAAAAAAAAAAAAAAAAAAAAAAAACACAC